TGCATTCCTGTCTCCCTTTCTATTTCTTCTTTTTTTACACCAGTCCCTTAGCATTTCTTACATTGCTGGCTTGGTGGTAATAAATTTCCTTACTTTTTTTTTTTTTTTTTTTTTGGTCTGTGAAGCTCCCGATTTCACATTCATTTTTTAATGATAGCCTTGCTGGATAGAGTATTCTTGGATTCAGTCCCATTATTTTTATTACTTTTTATACTTCATGCCATTCCCTTCTGGCCTGATGTGTTTCTGTTGAGAAATCAGTTGGTAGTCTAATGGCACGTCCCTTAAACTTTCTGTCTCTTTTTTGCAGCTTTCAATGTTTTTCCTTATCTTTTATGTTTGCAAATTTAATTATGATGTGTCTTGTTATAGGTCTTTTTGGGTTCATCTTGACAGGCACTCTCTGTGTTTCATGGACTTGTGTGACTTTTTTCCCCCAAATCAGGGATGTTTCCTGTCAATATTTTTTCAAATAGGTTTTCTACTCCTTGCTCAGCTCCTCTCCTTCTTGGCATCCCTATTATATGAATATTTTTGTGTGTTGGTCCTTTAGAAGGGTGCTTCATTTCCAGCTGTCACTTCCTGAAACACAGCAACCCTCTACTTTTCACAGCCAAATGTTATGGGTGCACCTTTCTCTTTTCTGGTGCTCTCTGCTCGGGGGGGTGGGAAGGGGCGGGGAACTTGGAAATTATATCCCAGAGTACTCAGTGGCAAACCCCTCACAGGTGAGGAATCCTTCTGGAATTTCAGCTGCTTTCTGGGGGAGCCCATCTAGCCCTTTCGCACCTCCATCATTTCTACCAGTTTCTATGTTGTCTCCACTTTCCATCTTTGGTTATCAGTGTTCTATCCAGCAAGTCTTCTGTTGATTATTCAGGGTGGGGGTTTTCGTTTTTGCTTTTTTACTTTAATTGTAATTCCAGTTTGGTCCTGGGCGCATGCCTGTGAGCTGCCACATACTCTGCTGAAATTTTTCTCTTTATGCCTATGTTCCTCTGTATATACTTTTTTCTTCTTCTTACATTAATTTCTTAGAATGCTGGTTTGGTGGTGGTAATCTCAATTAGCCTCTTCTTGTCCAGGAAGATTTTTATTTCACCTTTAGTTTTGAATGATATATTTTCTAGTGAGTAGTCTTGGTTTGTTTGTTTTTTTAATATATTTTATTAATTTTTTTACAGAGAAGAAGGGAGAGTTAGGAACATCTATGAGAGAGAGACATTAATCAGCTGCCTCCTACAAACTACCCATTGGGGATGTGCCCACAACCAAGGTACATGCCCTTGACTGGAATCAGACCTGGGACCCTTCAGTCCACAGGCTGACGCTCCATCCACAGAACCAAACTGGTTAGGGTAGTCTTGGTTATTAAACCCTTGCTTTTCATTACTTGAAGTGTTTCTTTGAGAAATCAATTGACTGTCTTATGGAGGCCTTTTTAAGTAGCTGACTATCTTTCTTTTGTGGATTTTAAGATTTTCTTTTTCTCCATAACTGTTGACATTTTTATTATGATGTGTCCTGGTGTGGACCTTTTTGGATTTATCTTGTTTTGGGCTCTGTGTTCTTCCTTAACATTATGTCTTTTTCATTCACCAGATTAGTCATTATTTGTTCAAATAGTTTATTGATTCCTTGCTTTCTCTCTTCTCCTTCTTTCCCTGCTATGATGTGGATTTTGTTTCTCTCCATGTTGTTCCAAAGGTCTCTTGATTCGATGTTTGTTACACCTTGCCTTCCAGATTGCTGATGTGATCCTGTGATTCATCCAATGTACTGTTTATTTCTTTCAGTGTACTATTCATTTCAGATATTGTATTCTTTGTTTTTGACTGCTTTTATGGTTCTATGTGTGTGGGGGGGTGTTCATGCTGTTGAGCATTCTTATAACTATTAGTTTGAACTCTATACCTGATAAATTGCTTGCCTTCATTTAATTTATCTATTTTTCTAGAGATTTGTCCTATTATTTTATTTGAGATATTGTTTTTTTATTTCCTATTTTTGCTGCCTCTTTGTGTTTGTTGCTATATATTAGATTGATATGCTATGATTCCCGGTTTTGTAGAGTGGCTTTATGTAATAGATGTCATGGGGCATTGTAGGAGCACAGATCCTTAACTGCTAGGAAATGGAACTATGTGGACACCAGGAAGTGGATGAAGACAATATAAATAGGCATAGGCTTATAGGAGAATATTCATTGTAGACTATATAGCCATTATTACCAAAGAACTATCAGATAAAACAGTTTTTCAAAGGAGCCCCACAAAGCAGCCACTGCTAATATAGCAACAATTGCAAACACAATAGCCTAACTAAGCAGCCCTTATTAATATAGAAGCAAGCACAGGAGCCATACCAAGCAGCCACACACTAGCTGGTTAATAACATATCTTTATACCAACTCAGACAAAGGAGGCTTCTTGCCAAATAGTGGCACAATATTTGGGTTATAGAAAGGTATCCCTGCATAGGGCACACCATATAATCGCTATGTCTTTCCTCAGATTAGCCTTGAACATCCAGCATACGCTGGATGGGCCCCCACACTGCAATTGGCCTTGAACATCTGGCCTATTCTAATTAAGGTTTCCACATCCCATTTTTAATTTTTTGAGAGAACTCCACACTGTTCTCCACAATGGCTGCACCAGTCTGCATTCCCACCAGCAGTGCATGAGGGTTCCTTTTTCTCCACATCCTCACCAGCACTTGTAGTTTGTTGAATTGTTGATGATAGCCATTCTGAGAGGTGTGAGATGGTACCACATTGTCATTTTGATTTGCATCTCTCAGATGATTAATGGCTTTGAGCATGTTTTCATATGCCTCTTGGCCTTCTTTCTGTCTTCTTTTGAAAAGTATCTATTTAGGTCCCTTGCCCATTTTATTATTATTGTTGTTGGATCATTTATCTTCCTTTTGTTAAGCTGTATGAGCTTCCTGTAAATGTTGAAGATTAAGCCCTTATCAGTGATAGCATTGAGAAATATGTTCTGCCATGCAGTGGGCTTTCTTGTTGTTTTGTTGATGGTTTCTTTTGTTGTGCAAAAGCTTTTTATTTTGATGTAGTCCCATTTGTTTATTTTCTCTTTAGTTTCCATTGCCCTAGAAGCAGTATCAGAAGAAATTGCTTGGCATATGTCTGAGATTTTGCTGTCTGTGGATTCCTCTAGTATTTTTATGGTTTCCCATCTTATGTTTAAGTCCTGTATCCATTTTGAGTTTATTTGAGATGAGATTTTTGTTGCTTTTTGTGTGCCAATTGACTTTTGTTTTTATCCTGAATGTTTTTAATAATATCTCGTGACACTCTACATCTTTTTTATATCTGTGGGCTGTGGTTCCCATATTAGTTCAATGTCTTAATAGTGATATTTTAATCTCAGCCTATGTTACCCATTGGTCCCTACACATTACTTATTAGCATAATTTTTAAAATTTGGTATTCTAATTAGGATTAATCCATGTGTGCAAATGACAGTGTAAACACATAAGCTCACAAACAACTTCACACATTGCTTTCTTACTCCTCTTTCCTTTTACTTCCCCAGAATGTTTCAGTTCCCAAAATTTTATTTTTCAGTCCTGCAGCCAGAAATCACTAACTTTCATGATCATGCCACATCCAAGTGGTAGGAAAACAGAGAGAGTGGTAAAAAGCAGGTAGATTTGGCCCTGTCCTCTTGGATCCAGGGCTTGACTAAACTGAGAAAGTTCACCTCCCTCACCACTTGAGCTCATGAAGGGTTCCCATTACAGTATGTTCTACTCTTGCCACCATCCCACCCACAAGACTTCCTATGTCTGGGCCACAAAAGGGAAAAGAGGAAATAGGATTGGGCCTTCTACACTCTCTCAGAACTTTAGGGGTTTTTCTTTTCCACTCCTTAAGCCAGAACTAGCAGGTTTATCCTTAATCTCATTCTATTTACACTTTACTGCATTTTCACTCTTTGGATTGTTTGAGTTCAGACTAGCGAATACACAAGGGGAAAATGGTAAACTCAATACCAGATTAGTTGTATTTCAAGTTCTGGTTCTAGTATTCTTCCAGATCCAATTGCTAATGTTTACTTTTTATAGTTATCAGGTTTAATAATTGAGTTCAGTGAAAGAGAAAGGGGTATGTGAAAGCTAGAGATATTTTATCTCTTTATTCATAAGTTTTAGGTGTCTATAAAATCTGGATACTCACTGTGTTAGGAGCGTTCCTTTAGAAAAAAAAAAGGGAGGCAATGGGGAAAAGACACTAGGTAGCTGATGTAAATTAAAGCTGGTGTGAAATGTTTTAAGGATGTAGTTTCAAAAAAAATTATATACAGAGGATAGTGTAGGCTTGCAGTTGTAATACAAATAAAATACAATAATCCTATCTAATAAAAGTGTAATATGTAAATTAACTGTCACTCCATCAGAAAGATGGTGGTGCCCATAGCCACAAGATGGCAGCGCCCAGTCCCCTCAGTCCCGCCAGAGTCTCCAAGTCCTGGAGGGCTGCTGCTGTGAGCTGACAGCATGAGTGGACTGGCGGAATGCTTGCTTCATCACTGCAGTGAGGAGGAAAGTATCCTGCCCTGGCTGCAGAGGATCTCCATGGGATGAGGGCCAGCCCACAGCCTCTGCAGCCGAGCAGGCCCAGAGAGGAGATGGCTGGCCCACCTCCCACAGAAGCAGCCCAGCTCCCTCCTACCTCCCTTGGAATCAGCACGGGTCCCTCCAGGCTCCCACAGAAGCCACATGGCTCCCGTGGAAGCAGCACCGATCCTGGTGAGGCACTGCATTTCCCACTGGCTCCTGCAGAAGGGGCTTGTGGCCTGCTGCACATGATATTGCATCATGAGCTACTAGTTAACAAATAATAGTATAACTGTGTGTTTCACATACTCACAACTGTACTTATTTTTGCTAACCCTTGTAGATATGCTATGATCTAAGAACCTTCTGAGGATAAAGTTGGGATGCATCGTGTAAATTCTGGCTTCTTTTTCTAGTTAAAAAGAAAATGTCAAAAGATGTACCTTATGGAGGCTGGCCATATGCTGTCTACTTTTAACTTGCTAGAAAAACGTGATACAATTTCCAAGTTACTAAGTGTAGGAATGAAGCGCAAACTCTCCATCATGATAGCACTTATTGGAGACGCCGAGGTATTAGAGAAGCAATGGAGGAAAAAGAGGGAGGGAGGTGGGCAGGGCATGCACATATACATGTACTAAAAATGAGTTGCTGACATCTGCTCCAGTCAACTCAGCTGACAGAAACCTGAGAGTGGAGATGAATGTTAAGGGGATGTTGCCAATGATAATTGAAGAGAATTTGCATTATGGGGTCAGCTGTTATAATATGGTTTGGGATTATTTTTCCTAGTTTTTATCATTATTATTAGTCTAGATTTTGTATCTTAATTTAAATGTGTTCCCCTCAAGTAGTAAATTATCCCACAAGTACTTTAACATCAATTATCAATGGTCATGGAATTGTTCTGGTCTCTAGGTGGTGATACTTGATGAGCCCACAGTTGGCATGGATCCCATCTCAAAAAGAGCCACCTGGGACCTCCTACAGCAGTATAAAGAGGACCGTACCATCTTAGTGACCACCCAGGACATGGAAGAAGCTAACATCCTGGGCGACCGCATTGCGATCATGGTGAAGGGAACTCTGCAGTGCTGTGGCTCTTCAGTCTTCCTGAAACAAACATATGGTCTCTCTCCCTTTGATCATTCTTAAGATATTACTGTTTTAATCTTCTAATATGATTTTAATTATATTTTGTCTATTATTTAAAACTTCTTCAATGGCTTCTTCTGCTCTATTAATTATGTCTCAGTTATTCTAATTAGTTTGCAAGGCCCTTTGCAATCTGGAGAGTCCATATGGAGTTTGGGGCAAAAGTAGGTTTACAGCTGTGAGTATGTGAAACAGAGTTTATTCTTGTATTATTATTTATTAAATTTGTATTATTTTCTTACAAACAACTATAAATCTACTTTTAGGCCACCTGGTATGTACTTATTAATTGTTCTTCACCACATACATTCAGACTGAGGAACTACTTTTAATAACCTACAAAATACCATACTTATTTTTCCCATTTTGAACCTACTGAAGGTTTTCTTTTTTTCTAGAATACAGTTGTGCCTCAAAACCAATTTGTTTTTTTGAGTAATTGGTTGGTTGGTGAGGAGAGGAAGTAGTAAAACAGTGACATTTGACCCTAGTTTCTTATTTGCCATGTCAGTCTCAAATCCACAAATATAGAAAATGACAGTAAAAATGTAGTGCAGAATGAAAAAAAAAAAAAAAAAAAACAACAGCAACATACAAGTGAAATAAAACAACCCTTGATTTTGATAAGTATATAGCTTTTGTAGGAGGTAATACTGGCACACCAAGTAGTGAATTATTGAGGGGTAAAATTAATAGTAATTGTAAGCCAAAATTGAAGGTTATAAATGTAAATAAAGATAATTGAGAATGAATTGCTTCATCATCAATTTACATAGTATTTGAGTTTACTCAACTCACATTAATTATTTTCTCTATATGAGGTACTTTATACATTATATTTAATATTCAAAACAATAGCTCCACATTATGGAACACAAATCTAGGGCCCAGATATATCAAAAGTGTATCTTAGTCATATTTATACACCCATTTAATTCTTTAAAGTTTCTGATCACCTTACAGGTTTGAGCTTTTACAATTAACTCAAAAGGCTTAACCCTACTAGACCTGAGGCCCTAAACCTAACTGACTCCTATACTTGGGTTCCTGAGCATTACTGAGAAAACATCAACATGATATAGAAAAATGTTAGTTACATGCAAACAAGTGGTTAGAATAAGATGGAACTTGGAGACATTGTAGAAAATAGGTCTGTCTTTCATCTATCACTAATATCCCAGCAGAATGAGCCTTGTTTCACACAGAGGTACTTCTTGCAAAGTGAGCACCAGATGTTGCTCCTCACCTTCTTGCAAGGGTTGTCTATGTAGGACACTCCAGGATTTTGCTTGTTGTACCTGGAGTGCCTTTCCATTCACAAAACACAGATATGATTAGACGATGCCCCAGGGGGAATCTCTGGAAAATGGTTGCCTGGGGTCATTCGTTGAGGGCAGGGTTTCTGTTGTGTGTGGCAATGGACTGATGTTCTGTATCCACCAATGAGTTGCAGGCACAGTTTCTGAATATATCTGGTGAAATAAACTGGCTTTTTTGAAGCAGCTGCTACTTCAAGCATACAAGCTATAAGAATTATAACTGGCCCACATAAAAAATCTTATGAAAAGCCACCAGGACCAGCAGTAATGATGACAAGACCAGTGAAGGCAGGTCATATGGTCATTTTTGTCACAGCCACGCAAATATTTATTATAGTCCTTCACCAGCTGTGGCATCTGTATTTCTTGCACACTGCCATATTTATTTCTTCTGTTTATTACTACATTTTGGGTTGGATCATGGTAGTTCAAAATAAATGTGATGGGCTTTCTGTCCTGCCAAACTAAACATGTTACACTTTCTTGACATAGATGGCGACTATCACCCCTAGCAAGTTTTTTTGTTTTGTTTTGTTTTGTTTTGTTTTGTTTTGTTTTACACTTTTCAGTGACTTAGGAAACTGCTTTCTGTTTTGCTGCAGGGTTCCCACAATTCCTGTGTGTAATTCTTGCCATTCCCGTCTGGCGTGCATGGTTTCTGTTGAGAAATCAGCTGACAATCATATAGGTGCTCCTTTATAGGTAACTACCTGCTTTGCTCTTGCTGCTATTAATATTCTCTGTTTGTGTTTTGCTCTTGGAATTTTAATTATGATTTGTCTTGGTGTGGTCCTCTTTGGATTCCTTTTGTTTGGAGTTCTGTGTGCTTCCTGGACTTGTAAGTCTAATTCTTTCACCAGGTGGAAGAAGTTTTCTGTCACTATTTCTTTCAGTATGTTTTCGATATGTTGCTCTCTCTCTTCTTCTGGGACCCCCATAATTCTGATGTTGGTTTGCTTGAAGTTGTCCCAGAGGCTTCTTACACTATCTTCAACTTTCTGGATTCTCTTCTCTTCTTGCTTCTGTGGATGAGTGTCTTCTGGCTCTTTATGTTCCAAATCTTTTACTTGATTCTTAAGATCTTCCATTCTGTTTTTAGGACTCTGTATAATATTTTTAATTTCAGACAATGTATTCTTTATTTCTTGTTGATTCCTTATTATTTCTTGTTGATCCCTTATTATTTCTAGTTGATCCCTTTTTATATCCTCATAGGTCTCGTTTATTTTATTGGCCTTTTCTAGGAGATTCTTGAAAAACCTTTTAAGTGTGGTTTTTAACTCTATATCCAGTCACTTTTTGTCCTCCATTTCTTTCGTTTGTGATCTGTTTCTTTGTCTCGGCATTTTCACAGCTTAAAAGTCTCTGTGTTCAGCTTGGATGGGGCGGAGTTTCAGGGTGGAGCCTACAGCCTTGGCTTCTGTCAGCCCCGCCCTATGAGGCTCCTGAGTCTCAGTGTTCCTCAGGGTTCTTGGGTACTCACTACAAGCATCTCTGAGAGAAAGGTGCCCTCGAGTTTCGCCCGTTACCAAACAGTCTAGGCTCTAACCCAATGAGCCCAGAACTGGGGTTCAGTTCAGTTGGAAGTGGGGTTCAGAGCAGTCTGGAGCTTTTGTCTCCTTCTCACTAGGGCAATACAGCAGCACAATCAACTGTCCTTTCTCTGTATGCAATGTGCGTGCCTTCGGGACTTCCTTTCACCATTCTCCTTGTTTCCACCTTACAGCCCAGGCTCCCTCCATGTGAGCCTGGGTCCCCGGGGTCTGACCTGGAACTGGGGTTCAGTGCAGTCAGAACTGGGGCTCAGCACAGTCTGGAGATTTTGTCTCCTTTCTGCTAGGGCAATCTAGAGCAAAGTCAACAGTCCGTCCTCTGCATGTAATATGAGCACTTCTGGGCCTGCCTTTTGTCGCTCCCCTGAGATTCTGCCTTAAAGCTCAGACTACCTCTGTATGAGCCTGGGTCCCCAGGGTCTAGCCTAGAACTGGGGTTCAGTGCTGTCGGATCTGGGATTCAGCACAGTCCGAGCTTTTATCTCCTTCCCACTAGGGAATGCCAGCCAGGCACTCAGCCTCCCCCTCCTCTCTGGCTCCTTCATCTCCGTGCGCGTAGGATGTCTCTGTACCTTAGGCTTTTATAGCTCCTCTGCTTTTCCTTCTGGTTTTCTCTTTCCTTCTTGTTGTAGAATTTCCAGTCAGTTGACTTTCCTGTAGTTCTGGGTAATGTCCATTTTGTATTTTAGTTGTATTTTATTGAAATTGTTGTGTGTGGCTGTGGTTAGGTGTTTACCTGTGCAGCCATCTTGGATCCTCCCCTGCACTCAAGTCTGATATAGGCCTTGGTGCAGCACCAGTGTAGATTTCTGCATTCAAAACGTAGCCAGTCTCACGTTCACAAAGAAGGAACGACTTGATGCCCCACTTTGTGGGATTATCCTTGATATACTGCTTGATGGCCAAGAGGTTTTTTGTTAGGATCATCCCCTCATCTAGGCTCAAATGTTGCTTTGGCAGATAGAAGTGGAGAAACTTGGGGAGCAGACTTTCCAAGAAAGGCCTAATTTATATATTCTCTCTTATTAATATCTGTGTATTATGTGTAAAAAACTCCAAAGGGCCAAGAATTTGTCTCTAGTCATAACATTTCGAAATCCAGGAGTAAACCCAACAAAGTCAGAGCCCTCATTTGTCCAATAATCCCGATAGCTGGGCTTTATACATAGGTATTCCACATAGATCCTCAGTCCAAGAAAAGCCTTCGTTTCTTCCGCTCTGGCATCCTTGAAATGTTTGGCTCTGTAGGAGTTGGGCCTTTCTATATGCAGTTGGTGGGCCTGGAGGTTGGTTTTCTCTGTCAAATTTTGCCAGAAAGTATCATCCAAAAACAAGGATAAAAAGTCAATCCGTTCACTCTCCTCTGTGATAGATCCAGGAATGTACACTGGGCCTTTTCCATCCTCATTGAAATTCAGATCTGCATTTGGTGATACAAAATTCCATGTCCAACCTTCATCACCACCTATATTTACCCCATCAGCTGTTTGAGGGACATGCCCTCTTCTCTTACTATCAATCTAGCTCTAGATCTATAAGGTTCAAGATTCTTCTCATTACTCAAGCTCTCACTGTCTATGTCACTTGAACTGGAAACATATTCTTGATAAAATTCTGACTCCTCAAATCTGAATCAACCAAAGTATCGATTACCTGTTGGACTGTGATAAGCCTAGATTTGCTTTGCTTTCCCATTGAAGTGCTTGGTTCATCAGCGTCTCATTTCATTGAGAATTTTCAGAATTTTTTCACTTCAAACCACACAAAGTCAATTCAAACACATGGGGACAGATATTTGCAATGGCTAATCATGAGGTTTGACCACGATTGGTTGGTTATTTTTAGTTTGTGATGCATTTTTTTCATGTACTAGGCAAAGTACCAAAAATTAGGTACAGCAGTATAGCAGCAGATTCATAAATTACTGAAAACTCTGTACAGTGGTCTGGTGGGGTTAAATTAGATTTATTCCATCTGAATTGAATGCACCTGTATAATGAGTCACATAAACATCTAAACTTTTTGTTTAATTTATTGGTGTAACATCCTATATAATAAAGAGGTAATATGCAAATTGACCATCACTCCAACTCACAAGATGG